AAATATAACAACAACAATCAACGAAAATAAACAAAATTAATTAATTAATTAATTAATTGAGATAATAACAGAGATATAGACCGATAAAAGGAACGACCAATATTTATTTCTTATCTTTTTTTTTTTCATTTTAAATTCGTACGATCGTTTTAACATTTTCCATTCTTATTCCAATAATTATTATTATTATTATTATTATTATTATTATTATTTGTTATTATTATTTATTATTATTATTTATTATTATTATTATTATTATTATTATTATTTTTCTTTTTTTCTTTTTTACTCCTGCATGTACACACATTCTATAAATTCGGGGGGGATGCAATAGATTATGCGATATTTTTTGTGTTTATGTATGTACGTGTGTATGTGAGTACTCGAGTATTATAAAAAAAGAAACCAACAAAAAAATAAAAAAAAAAATTAAAAAAAAAGGGAATTTTCTTCTATAGAGTTCTCCGTCGACGTTTATTTTTTTACTTTTTTTTTTTTTATTCCTATATTGAAATCGATTATTTAAAAATCGTGGTGTGGGGTGGGGTGGGAGGGGAAATTGTTCACACATTTTCGAAATACTAACGAGTGGTTTGCTATTTAATTTTATGTATATTGCGATAATATTATGTAGACAGGAATACGGCGAACTTTCTTTCCATCTTTTTCAATTTCTTTCATATTGTATGTATTATTTTGTCCATTTATTTCTTTACCACTTGCGCACAAGTTCCATTTTTTTTACATCAACGATTTCATATCGTTTTGTGTTATTTGTTAATTTTTTATCATGGTTTTCTTTTTTCTCTTTAACTTCAGATGATAGTACTGTACCACTTACAATAACTGCATGTGCGTGTTACGTGTGTGTGTGTGTATTTGTGTGTGTGTGTGTGTTATTTTTTTTTTTTTTGTTTTTTTTTATATCATAATATTTTTTTTTATTTATATACCGTACGTTCTTGTATTGTACTATATACATTGTATACGATTTTGTATTTTTTTTCTTCTTCCTCCTTTCTTCATTTATTTATTTTCTTTCTTACTTTTTTCTTTTGAAGGATTTTACAACGTACGATTAATCAAAATGCGATTAAAATGTCTTTTTATCGTTTTTTTTTCTTTCTTTTTTCTTTTTTCTTTTACTCTTTTCTTAATACTGATTTCTCCGTCCTATGTCGATGAAAGTGCATGACTTAATTTCATTTACAATTAAATCGAGATTTGATTTGATAAAAGGATGCGCGGTACGAATGTAATTCGTATATCATTCGAATATTATTTATAATTTGCAACGCGTTTTTTCGTTTACCTTTTTTCTTTTTTTTTTTTTTTTCTTTTTCTCTTCGAAACGTTCATATCCAACTGTAATCTATGTACAGACGCGTTACGAATCATTAAAAAAATTTTTCTTTTTTCTTTCACATTCTTTCTTTTTTTCTTTCTTTTCCTTTTTCTATACGTGTGCGTATGGCGTGTACGTGTGCTTTCTTTTTTTTTTTTTYTTTTTTYTTTTCTTATTTTTTTTTTTTGGTTTGCTCGCTTCAAATGTGTTTGTTAGTTAATTAGTTTGATTTCGGTTGTTTTCGAGTACGTTCGTAAACACGTGAAAAAAATTTACAAAGCGAATTTTTTATCGTTAGATTTTATTTAAAAATGATTTATGTTAGTTATCCACCGTCGACCAATCCTCGACTATGATTGATTAATGAGAGACCAAGAAAAAGAAATTAAAATAATCGATGCAATTTGGTGACCAAAAATTTGTCGGTACCGTTGGTAGTATCGAATTGTCGAATTTTTAATGAATTAAAAGTTTGTAAAAAAAAAGTTGCATTTTATTGGTCGTTCATATTTTCATGACCATGTGAGCGTACGTAATGCAAATATACATACAAGAATACGAATACTCGTATATGTACTTTTTTTAAACCCGATATATTTCTTTCACTATTTCGACTTTTAATAATGACAATTTTTTTTGACGAAACGAATCACGTGTATTTTTATTACATTGTTATAATTAGTTTCATTCGCGAAATACTCTCTTTGTATATATGTATATATAATATGTATATACATACACAAATTTTCTTCAAATGATTAATCAAAATGGAACAGAAAATGATTTGATTAATTTAAATGAAAATACGTGATTGAGTATACAGTTTGTTAGTTTTTGTTTTCCTTGTTTTATTAATTAAAGAACAGATCTTCGAGTCATCTTTTTTTTTTCCTAATGGCCGATCCAAATTGTTGCCCGTTGGACGTAAAATTGGAAAATGTACTTTTCCCATTAACGGAAGTCAGAATTTGAAATCTTTTTTTCCTTTTTTTTTTTTTTTCCAGATCGGAGGAATGATATTTTCTTGTTTCAGCGTGTTTCAAAGCCAAACAAATATTGCAAAAGCTTTTATCACGAGAAACGAATGATCGATCGATCGATCGTATGGATCATTCGTTAACCAATTCGCTGTGATACATTTTTTGTGTCAGGTTTTTCCTCTTTTTTTTTTTGTTGTTGTTATTTCCAATTTTGTAAACCCCGAACTGTAAGCTGAACGAACGAACGTATTCGTATTCAACATTGTTTTTTTCTTCTTTTGCTTTCCCCTTCTCGACAAAAATCATTTTCCACGTTAAACCGGTAAAAAAAAAAAAAAAGTAACGTTCGAGCTTCGATTTTTGCTGCCTTTTTTTTCAGCATTGTTCATATTTTTTGTCTGTCCTTGATAAATCTCTTTAACATCGATTCAACGAAAATGGTCTATGACATTTTTCTTTTCTTTCCTACTTTTTCTTTCCTCCTTATTGATTTATTTATTTTTAAACAGTTAACACTGTATCTCCTTTAATTTTCTAAATATATACAACGCGTTATGCGTGTCCGAGGATCAACGTAACAATTCGTAAACAATTATTACGAAGAAAAAGTTCCACCAAATTGGATCGGCAACGAAATGGCTTATACTTTTTTTAAATTCATCCATTTGTTTGCGTTTGTTAGTTTGTGTGTATGTGTGAGTGTCTCTTCCTCCTCTCTCTTTCCTTCCCTTCCTATCTCTTTCTCTCTCTCTCTCTCTCTCTCTCTCTCTCT